GCAGCTCCCAGGCCCGCCTGCGCCTTGGGGGGGTTTAGGGTTTAGGGTTTAGGGCTTAGGGTTTAGGGTTTAGGGCTTAGGGTTTAGGGTTTAGGGTTTAGGGTTTAGGGCTTAGGGCCTAGGGTTTAGGGTTTGGGGTTTGGGGTTTAGGGTTTAGGGTGTAGGGCTTAGGGTTGAGGGTTGAGGGTTGAGGGTTTAGGGCCTGCTGACCCAGAGAGCCCAATACCCCTTAAATAAGGAATATAATACAGCTTAAATTATAGGGGCCTTGATATTATGATTTAAGGTATATTCCTCAATTAGGGGGTATTGGGCTCTCTGGGTAGGGAGGGCCTGGTAGAGTTTTAGGGTTTAGTATTTAGGGCCTAGTAGGGTTTGGGGTTTAGGGCCTGGTAGGGTTTTAGGGTTTAGGGCCTAGTAGGGTTTGGGGTTTAGGGCCTGATAGGGTTACGGGTTAAGGGCCTGGTAGGGTTTAGGGTTTAGGGCCTAGTAGGGTTTGGGGTTTAGGGCCTAGTAGAGTTTAGGGTTTAGGGCCGAGTAGGGTTTTAGGGTTTGGGGCCGAGTAGGGTTACGGGTTTAGGGCCTGGTAGGGTTTAGGGTTTAGGGCCTAGTAGGCTTTGGGGTTTAGGGCCTAGTAGAGTTTAGGGTTTGGGGTTTAGGGCCTGGTAGGGTTTGGGGTTTAGGGCCCAGTACGATTTAGGGTGTAGGGCCTAGTAGGGTTTAGGGTGTAGGGCCTAGTATGGTAGGGCCAAGCAGGCTACTTTGGGAGGTTCACGGGTAGTCATACGTGGGAGTTATAAGTAGGACAATTTAGTTCTACTTCAAAATTTTTAGGGGACATATAGCCCCACTTGTCATTGCCCATGAACCTCCAAGTAGTAGGTTTATTATGGTGCTTCTGGGTGTCTCCAGGGCAGCAGAGTCTTATAGGGGAGGGGGTGTATTAAGGTTCAATGCAGGTTTACGGGCTTAAATCCAAAAACAACCCTACACCCGATGTAAGAGTTTTGGGTTGTTGACTTGCTGTGGTTGCTGCCTCCTGGGGGTCCCTTATGCCCAAGCCCAGAAACTGGAAATAATATATACCCCAACACCTTATTCTAACTATTAAGGCCCCTCAACCCTAAACCCTTATAGTAGCCCCTTTAAGGAACCTTTTAAAGGAACCCCCAAAACCCTATTCTAATTGTCCAGGCCCCTACAGTAGGGTTTGGGATGTAGGGTTTCAGGCTTAGGGTTGAGGATTAGGGTTTGGGGCTTAGGGTTTTAGGGTTTAGGGCTGATGGTTTAGGGTTTTTAGGGTTTGGGGTTTAGGGTTGGGGTTTTGGATTTGGGGTTTAGGGTTCAGGGGCTGGGGAAAGGGTTAACGGGTCTTATAGGGGGTTATAAGGGCTGTCTGAGCGGTTTAGAGGCAGTTCATAGGGCTTTTTGAGAGGATTTCATGGGGTTTGCTGGCCAAGGTCTGGGGGTTTACAAGCGGGCTTTTGTCTTGTATGCGGGTAATCATGGGACATTATTGCTAGGAATGGGCCGAATATTGGGTTTGTAGGTTTTTTTTTTTGCTTGTTGTCGGAATATATATAGTTGCACTTTAAGAATGGGGGTTTTGGGATGCTAAGATATCGTTGACAACGGGTTCCCGTATCTCGGCTAGGAATACCTGCAATGAGGGTCTGAACCCTGGAGGCCATAGGCCCCAAACGGGGCCCTAAAACCCTGATAGTGCACAGCCTCTATAGATCCCTTTAAGCAGCCCGACCCTAATGCCTAAACCCTGCACCCTAAGCCCTAAACCCGAAAAAGCTCGAAGCCCGAAGTCGGAACTCTAAACCAGAAACATGCCATCGGGCCTGAAAGCGCAGACGACCACCAAGTTTATCTAAATCCCAAACCTGCAGAAGAAAGGGTTTAGGGGTTTTGGGGTCTAGGGGTTTAGGCTTGATCAGTTAGCAACAGTCTTCCTCCGGGTTCGAATATACAGGAAAACTGCAAACTGTAAAAAAAAATCCCAAAGCCTATTCTGACTCATAAGGCCCCTGCCTTAAACCGCAGCCCCAAACCCCACAACCCTAAACCCTAAACCGTGAGTTCAGCCCAGAGGGACAGCGCTTCCGAGGGAGAACTCCATCCATCGGGGCATCGTCGTCTGTACCAAGGACCGGGGGGCTCAACGGTTCGCTGGGCTTCTTTGCAGGGTTCCATAGGCGGTTTATAGGGACTCTAGTGGGTTTTACAAGGGAGAGAAATAGATGGTCTATGCATGGATGGATGGATGCATGGATGGATGGCTGGATGGATGGATGGATAGGGAGAGAGAGAGAGAGAGAGAGGGAGGGAGAGATAATATATATATATATATAATATTATATCATATTATATTTTTATTAGACTATATTATACTATCTCATATTACGTTCTTATATTGCATTACAGTATTTTGTTTTAGTGTTTTATAGGTTTAAGGGGTTCGTCGTCTCGGGGCTGAGGGCGTATAGGGGAGTGTAGTCTGCCCGTGAGGCTCCAAGGGCGTCCCCCAGGCGGCAGCGATTAGGATTGAGGGTTGAGGGTTTAGGGTTTAGGGTTTAGGGTTTAGGGCTGAGTTTAGAGTTTAGGGCCAAGTTCAGGGTCTAGGGAAGAGGGTTTTAGGGGCAGGGTTGAGGGACACGTGTGTAGGACTGTGGGAGGGCTTCCGATTTCGGAGGGCTTCCGCAGCCCAACCCAGAAAGACAGGGAGACAGACCATGCTAGAGTCTAGAGGTGTCTAACGCGAACTTCTTATCACCGAGCCCTAGGCAGTGTAGGAATTGAGCCCCAGGCCGTAGCACCGTCGAGGTCCAATCTTTTTGCCCTTTGTGTTGCGTTAGTGATGCTCGAATATGTATCTACTTGTCCATATCTATGCTTATCTATGTCAGTATGAATCTCCGCCTACACTACGCCCAATCAAACCCTATCAAACCCTATCAAACCCTAAACCAAAGCCTCAGCTCAAAACCTAACCGAGGAGTATGGGGCCTTCGTCCAGCTTGGCGACTCTATTGCAAACCCTAAACCCTGATATCTGGAGCCTACATAATTGCTTATAGTATTTTGGAGGTTCCTTAATACCCCAAAACCCTATTCTGATTATTAAGGCCCCTACAGTATGCCTTTTCGAGAGTTGGAGGCTCTGGGCTCCAGGCATTGTTTTTTTTTGGGGGGGGGCTTCGGGTTTTGGGCTACGGGGTTTGCATATTTTCTAGAACATTTCGCAGGACCCTGTCTATGTACGGCTTAACTCGGAAACGCTGTATCCCGGTGCTCCGAAGCCTTAACACCATAAACCCCAAAGCCCTGAAGCCCAAAATCCAAATCCATCGCCTTCCCGGCAACAGAAACCCATCCCCTAGCCGTACCTACAAAGGGCCCGGAGACGATAACGGCTTCCTGAGCCCTAGCCGTTTAGGGTTTAGGGTTTAGGGCGCAGAGCTCGAAAACTTTACGATGGTGGTCGGAACAGTTGCTCGCAGTCTTCCTGAAGGGGCTCCCTGCTAGAGGGCTGCGTTCTATAAGGTGCTCCAACCATGATATACTGTACACCCCAAATCCTCTTCTAACTGTGAAAAGCCCTGTAATAATATGACGGGACTTTCTTCATCAGGCCGCAACGTTAAACCCTAAACCCCTTAACCCTAAACCCCAAACCCTCACATAGGAGCCTAAATCATTACCTATAGTATTTTGGAGGTTCCTGATTATAATGATAGCATAATATACACCGAAAGCCTATTCCAATTATACAGGCCCCTACAGTAGTCAAACTCAAACCCTAAACCCTAAACCCCAAACCCTAGTCAAAGTCAGGCAAAGGCGAGAAGTACAAGGACGGCTTCCTCCATATCGGATGCCTCCCTGCGCCGCCCGGGGTGGAGCGCCTTGAAGTGGCCACTTGGGTAAAACGCTACGATTTAGGGTTTAGGGTTTAACCCCTAAACCCCTAAACCCTGAACCGCAAACCCTAAACCCCTAAACCCCTAAACCCTACCTTTGATTTTTCTTTGGGATCCCAAACGAAAGTTGGGATCCCATCATGGCTGAAGATCACGGGTCTTTCGATAGGGTTCTAAGGATTCTTGTCTAAGGTTAGAAGTATGGGCCCCTAATGTGGACCCTTAGGCCTTTCTAGGGACCCTTAAGGTTACATATAGGGCATATAGTGGGTGTATAAGGATCCCAGGGCTAAGGGCCCATGCTAGGGGCCCATGGTTTCAACCTTAGACTCCTGACAGACGAAAGCTCTTGGGTCGTTTCTCCGGTGGCCTTACTCAAGGGTTCCTGATGCCAGCCAGGGTCACTGGTGCACTAAACCCTAAACTCTAAACCCTACACCCAAGAACCTAAACCCTAAACCCCAAACCATAACACCTAAGACTGTACAGAAGATGCCTTCACTTGGGAGTCGCTAGCTTCATACTTGGAGGTTCATGGCTAGTGATTCGTGGAGCTTTTCAGCCCTTTAATATGGGTTTAGGGTTTAGGGATGGGAGCTTCCGAAAATTTGGGGTACCTTATTTCGGAGTCCTGATAATGAGGATCCTACTATTTAGGGTGCTATATTAGGGGTCCCCTTTTTTCAGACTTATTACGAACCATGAACCTCCAAGTACTTTTGATGGGCTCAGCTAGTCCAGTACCGTTTCACTATGATTATACCGGCAACTATCCTGCTCTGATTGTGCTGATTTGCGGCATACCCCTCAGTAGACAGACGAGACAAACCCTGTCTATCAGCATCGTAACTTATTTTCGCTGATGACGATATCTAGTCGTACGGTTGATGGACAAAATCCTGCATTACCCTTTATAAGGTATATACCATAATTCCCATAGTTTAAGGTCCTTAAGGTCATGCAGGATTCTGTCCATCAACAGTAAGTCTTGTGTTTCTTGGGTGTGCCGGGGCTTCAGAGTGCAGCGTTCATCGGGATGGGCTGGTGGGGTATTGAACCTACTTGTAGGGGTTGGAAAGAAAGAGGAAACAAGGATTTGGCATTCAAACCTCTAACCCCTAAGCCCTAACCCCTAAACCCTAAGCTTTGTTAATGACTTGGAGCCCTGAGTCAGGGCCTGAGGTTTTAGGGGTTCAGGGTCAGGGCTTCAGGGTTTAGGGTTTAGGGTGTAGTAGGGTATTTAGGGGCCCGCCAACTCCCAAGCCCTAAACCCTAGGCCCCAAACCGTAAACCCTAAACCTCAAACCTCAAATTCCTAACCCCTAAAACCCTGAACCCTTCAAAGCCTCAAGCCGTAAACCCCCTTACAAAACCCAACCCTAAAACCCTGAACCCTTTAAAGCGCTAGGTCAACTCCGTCGTCCGGGAAGGGGACAAAGTCTGGGCAGCCTGGGCTTAAAGATGTCCTCCCCAAAACATGTGAGATCCGAGCATTGAAGGGTTTAGGGTTTAGTTTGGGACTCAGGGTTTAGGGAGTCGATACTACATAATGGAAATGCGCTTTGGGCTCTCTGGCCCTACTGTCGAACTTTTCCTTCTAACTTTGGAAAGCTTTGGAGGTTTGCATTGTGCACCCTAAACCCTAAACCCGAAACCCTTTGTGAAATCTAAGACATCCGCCATTCTAGCTTGACGTCGGATCCCTGAAGTCGAAGCCCAAAGGCCTTAAAGCCCTAACGCACTCAAGCCCCAAATCCTAGAACCCTAAAGCCCTAAAGCTTTAAAAGCCAAAGCCCTAAAGCTCTACAGGCCTACAGCCCTAAACTCTAGCCCTCAAGCCCTCAAGCCTAAACTGAGGATCCGAACACTCTGGTCCTGTGATAAGTAGGGTCTATGGTTTAATGTTTCGGGTGTAAAGGGCAAGGCCTCCGGTGCAGCTGCTGGGTTTAAGATAGGGGCCTTAATAATTAGAATAGCGTTTGGGGTATATAATACTATAACTAAATAAGGAATCATCATAAACCCTATTCTAATGATTAAGGCCCCTGGATTTCGCTTAGGGTTTAGGGTTTGGGGTTTCGAATTTCGCATTGAATGTCTAGGGCTGTGGGTTTCGATAAGCCGCAACTGAATCCCGATGGCCCCGAGGTATGTCTAGGTAAGTTCGAAGGCGTCTTCGTCTCTACACCCCAAACCCCGAAACCCTTAAGCCGCTAAACCCCTAAACCCTTAAACCCGAAACCCTAAACCCCTAAACCCCTAAACCCCTAAACCCCTAAACCTCTAAACCCCTAAACCCCTAGATTCCAAAACCCCTAAACCCCTAAAGGCTAAAGCCGCTAGAAGTCGGAACCCTGAGCCCGAAGTGCTTAAGCTCACCAGAAACCCCCTTAACCTCCAAGGAGAACCCCCAAAAATTCGAGCTTCAACCTTTAGGGTTGTGGGTTTAGGGTTTCGGGTTTAGGATTTAGGGTTTAGGGTTTAGGGTTTAGGGTTTGGGGTTTTAGGATGTCGGCTAATATGGGGGTCGGAATAATATGAGAAGTATTATCCCTTATAGTCCTTCTGTAAGTATAGTCATTGTATTACTACAGAAAAATAGCCCCGGAACCTGATTCTAGTTACGAAGGCCCCTACATTGAACCCCAAAGAGGAGTTTACCAGAACACCCTCTCAGTCCTCAAAACCGAGATCTCGCGAAGCACGGGGCCCTAAAAGGCTTGCAATCCTGACGGAATTCAAGAAGGGTTTAGGGTTTAGAGGTTTAGGGTTTAGGCATTGGGGTTTAGGGTTTAGAGGTTTGGGGTTTCGGGTGTAGGGCCAAGTCCTCTAAAGCATCATTTGGGGGCCTGGACAAATAGTGACATGATTCCCTCCGGCGTTCTGTTCTACGGAAAATCTGAAGCCCACAGAAATCCACCGAAACCGGCTCGCCTTCTTTTCCTTTCGAATTTATGCTGCCAGGTGTAGTTCTTTACATTAGAGCCATTAGGGTCCCTTGCAGGCTCCTTTGTAGAAGGGTGCCGCCGTCTTTTGGGTTCCTGAAAGGGGACCCCAATCTTTTGACAACTTCCCCATTCTAGGTGAAGGTCCGCGATGTGGATGCCGCTTGGTGATCGGATTTCGGGCCCAAGGGACGCCACGTTTGGGAAACCTAAGCCCAAAACCCTGGGTTTCGGGCTTGGGAGGGCCCTTAGCTGCTGCTACAGTCCCAGGCTTTTGAAGTTGTTGAGGTGCCCTATACCTTAAGCCTTAAGCCCTAAACCCTACACCCATTACACCCCAAGCCCTAAACCCTACACCCTCAACCCTAAAAAATGCTAAACGTTCCAGGGACCGGCGGGTTTAGGGTTTAGGGCTTGCTGGGGTTTAGGGTTCCGGGCTTATATATTTGGAGGTTCATGGATGTCTTTTTACCTCAGGGTATAGTATACTTTAGACTATAAAGTATTTTTTGGTGTATTACGGTAAAGAACCCCTACTTGGAAGTTCGTGGGTAGTTATAGGTGGAGTTAGAAGGCCCTTAACATGGGTTAGTACAGCTATATCTACCTTACTTGTGAGCCTACTTATAAGTAACCATGAACCCTAAACCCTAAACCCTAAACCCTAAACCCTAAGCCGGATCTCCAAGTAGATTTTGTCCAGGGCTTGTTAGGTGAAAGCGGCTCTTGCAGCCCGTTTCGCCGGCCCGCTCCTGGAAATAGCGCCGAACAAGAAATGGGGGTTTCAGAAAATTAGGGTACCTTATTTTGGGGTCCTTATAATAGGGGTCCTATTATTTAGGGTACTATATTAGGGTCCCCTATTTTCAGAAGCCCCCAAATTCGAAACGCCTCAATCCTGATCAATTGTCGTCAACAAGTTGAGTCAACAAGCATGGATTGTCATGTGTGTTATCATGCTAGTCCCTGAACCCTATGCGCTTGCGCCCTAAGCCCTAAATCCTGCATTTTAAGCAGTAAGTCCCTAAACCTTAAGTCCTCCTAAGCTGGACCTTGGCGACCCGTCTTAGTCTTGACGAGCCTCGGAGGGAAAAGCCAGCAAAGCTCCGGGGCCGAGGAGGAAAGCGGCAAGTACGCCTTGGACATGAGGCTTCCGAGTGGTCAGAGTTTTTGGGTTTTGGGGGTTTGCGGGTTCAGGGTTTTGGGGCTTCGGGGTGGGTTTCAGGGTTGAGGTTCGTGCTTCCGGGAACAAGGGGGCTTCCGCAAATCGGATGCTCCGGTTCTGCGCAGTCGGCTCGGCAAGTTCGGTACAAAAGGTAGCAGCAAGTGTTGCAGGGAACTTAAGTGGGGTGGGTTCGACCCTGCCGCTTCGGCCGAACATGCGCGCAGCACATGCAACCAGAGCTTCAAGAGGAATGTTCAGGAAAGGAGTTGCCTTGTTTGTTGCTGCTGTTGATTGGTCTGCCGCTTTGTCTGAGACCCATGCTACTACTGCCATTCGGGCTGGCACTCAAGAAGCAACTCCTGCAGCGCTAGGGCCACATCGCCGCCATACGCATGTCGGGCGGCCAGCACGTGGAGGAGCCACTGAACTCAATGCGAAGTGAGAGCTTCAAACAGCGCCTTGCAAGCCTCCTTGAGCCTTGGGCACGACGTTAAACTGATTAGAGTCATATACCACATACAACTGCAAGCTTCTGAGGATAAAGTGTATGAGCCATACTTTTTTGAGACACATGTCGTTCCCAAGGACAATAGGTGGTTCAACGCGTTCGTTCTCTTCGTGGTATTGGTGGATCTGTTGGTCATCGCCGTAGATGTCAACTTTCGAGCCGCAGATGCGCGCCCCCCCCGCAGTATATTTGGCTCCACTACGTGTGCCTGTTAGTCTACTCCCTGGAGCTGGTCGCGGGCTTCTTCGCACACGGTCGCATTGCGATGTGGGATTGGACATGGTGGGTGGTCCTTTTGGCGACTGCCCTGCCGCTTGGGTGGATAGTAGAGTTTGGATCACATACCCAGTCGTTCTATGAAGGAGTTATGGGCCACCGGGCCGCCTAGGTCTTGGCTTAACCCAGCGTGGCATGAACTTGATGTGCACCAGACCCTGCGGCTCTTGAGCTTGCTCCGCTTCACCAGGATGTTCAAGGCAGGAGTCGGTTTAGGGTTTAAGGGTTTCAGGGTCTTGGGTTCAGGGGCTATGGGTTTAGGGGTTTAGCGTTTTAGCGATTTGGGGTTTGGGGCTTTGGGCTTGGGCTTCAGGGTTCAGCGTCCCCCAAAACACCAAAGTGCGCAATCCAGACTCGCTTTAAACCGCTTAAACCACAAACCTTTCCCTAAACTGCACACCCACAACCCAAAACCCTAACATCCTGTAAGGCCACGGTTGCCTTGGCAGAGAAGCACCTTTGCTGGGTGGCCTTCGCGCAATCTGCACTGAGATGTCAGCATGTTTCGGGACCTGCAGGGTGCTTATAGGGCTTTTAGAGTTTAGGGTTCAAGGTTTAGGGTTTAGGGTGTTGGATTTTGGTGTCAGGGTTAGACTTAGAGTTTAGGGTTTCGGGTTCAGGGTCCCGGCGCGTTAGGGTTTTATGGCTGAAGGTGGTTAGGGTTTTAGGTAATGCGGACTAGGTGTCCTTGGGCTTCTGTGATTTGTGGAGTTGGGACCATAAAGCCTTCCTGAGTGTTACAGACATCAACGAGCTACACATACTCTGAAAGTTTGGCCAACATGGAGATGCCTGCTGTCTTCCTTGCTGTACGCTGCATTCCATCGGAAGGGAGAGGGTTGGGGTTTAGGGGTTTAGAGGTTTAGGGCTTAGGGTCAATACCTCCAGCCCCAAACCCCAGCCCGGTCTAAACCGAAGACTTACAGCGCCAAACCCTAAACATTAAACCCTAAACCTTAAACCCAAACCTTACAGTCCTACGGCATTTCATCAGGATTTGGCTTTGGGCCTGTATTGTCTACTTCGTGGTGCAGACCATCTTTGCTGTGATGCTTGTTGAGCTGGAGACTCGCCTTATTCTTTCAGTGACTTAGGGTCGAGTTTGGGTTTCGGGTTTAGGGAATGGGGTTTAGGGTTTAGGCTCTAGGGAATCGGGGTTCAGGTATGGTTCGGGTAGCTTCTGTAGTCCGCATCAAGCCTCCACCTGGATAGAGAGCGCTGCCTTGCAAACGAAATGCGTCATAGTTCACCATAAGAAGTCACTGACGTAGAAAAGAGCTGCCAGAAGGGGCCAGCGTGTCTGGGAAACGGCAAGCCGCGAAGAAACAGGGACAATGTTCCTGTTCGGAAGGATGTTCAACAGCCAAGGTTCATCCTGTCACCCGTGAAGGCATCTCCGTGGATTGCCCCGAATGCCAAAGGCACTTCTCTTCGGTGCTTTCCGCGAAGCTCTGGTTGTTCACAGCCCTTTTCTCCGGCGGCTGGGAGCGTGAGGTCCCCATCATCATCCAGGCATGGAGTGCTAGCTGGGTTTAGGGTTTACGATTTAGGGTGTAACAACTAATAACAACAGCTAATAGAGACATTGGTGACCGACAGAATCTTCAGAGAGAGATCACCTGCTAGAATATGCTGTCAAGGTCAGGCTAAGTACAGTCATAGCCACAACCGCGGTAGCAATGCTTCTGAGAAAAGCAAAGATGAGTTGGAGGCAGCTCCCTGGACATGGTATATCCTTGTCGGCTCCATGGGCGTCTTGAGCCTTCTGGTGATCAAGGAGGCAGCGGAGATCGTTGTCATCGTGCTTTCCAGGGATCACATGGTGCTTGCACAGAGGGAGGTGTCTGAAGCCCCTGCTGAGCCAGTCCAGACTATGGAGCCTCGCCTTGGTACAGACATCGACACAGACACGAAGCTCCTGCAATTGCTCCTGGCCCGCTTCCAGCAGGACCAGGAGGGGAGGGCGAGGTTGGATGGGCTCTTAACGGAGTTCCGCCAAGCTGGCGCGGGAGTTGCTCAGCATCCCCCGCACATCGCTACCAAGGAGGAGCACATCGCTACCAAGGAGGATGCCCTTGAGACCGCCATAGTGCAGGTGCGGTAAGTACCAGCCCTGCGCTGCAAAATGCAACAGCAAGTAGAGTGCATGAGTTTCCTCTTCTAATGTAGGGGCCTTAACACGTACCTATATTGTTTTGGGGGTTCCTTATTATAACTATAGTATAATAGACCCCAAAGCCCTGTTCTAGTTATTGAGGCCCCTACAAAACTCGCGGTTTCGAAGTTCCCGACAAGTCGGGGTGCTTCCCAGCTCAGCAACAGGTCCCAAGTTTCATGGGGCGCCTGAATGATCAAGTACACAGTGCTGTTCCCTGGTAGTTGCATACATCTAGTCTACTGGACCTCGAAACCCTGAACCCTAAACTTGGATCCTAAACCCTACTCCTGAGCCCTAAACCCCGGTTTGTGATCTTTCAGGCTCTTACACTGACAAACTAATTGGGTTTGTCAGCCCGACACTTGGACCGCCTGCCACTCCAAGGAACCGTTGAAACTGTGAAGGCTCAGGTGACTGCAGTTTCGGTATAGTTGGAGGTGACGGCTCTATACTATAGTATATTTCTGTATATCATGGTAAAGAACCTCACCTTGAAGGTTCATGGGTAGTTATAACTGGGTTATAAGTTCCTCTTACTCTTTTCCTGCTTCTTCTGCTGCTTCCGCTTCCGCTCCTGCTGCTGCTACTGCTGCTATTATTATTATCATTACTATTACTACTACTACTACTACTACTACTACTACTACTACCACTACTACTACGACGATACCGCTAGCACTACCATACCGCTACCACTACCGCTACCACTACCGCTACCACTACCGCTACCACTACCACTACCGCTACCACTACCGCTACCACTGCCACCACTACGACTGCTTCCTTTTTGACCACTCCAGTCTTGCTTATCCTCATGGATACTGTTTTAGGGATACTGCTTAAGCTTCCGGGCGCTGATGTTGCCTTTGAGGATCGTCGTGTCTAAGTGTGCCGTATGCTAGTCACATGTCCGCTGATTGCAAGGTTCGTCCATCAGGAGGAGCCGGGATCGTCTGAAGCTGCCTTTGAGAAGAAATCCGGGAAAGCCCGGAAGTTGGTAACGTACACGATCTCGAGCGTCGGTGGGGGACATGAAGGGAAACGGGAAAGGCCAGCATGACAGCAGGCGCTGCAAGATGAGTTTAGAAACAGAGCGCAGCAGACCTCCGAGTGCTAACCGTTCAAGCTCCCATAAACCCTAAACCTAAACCCTAATCCTGAAGCCCGGATCCGGACCTTGAGCCCCAAAGATGTGCTTTGCTGCGGGAGGATGGCAGAGATTTGGATCCCTTTAACGGCCGGGGCCGCGTTCCGGCGGACGTTGGTTGGGCCAGATGGGCCGCAAGTGTGAGCTCAAAGCTGTTCAAGCGAGATGTCATGTGATTTCCTCCAAAGCCTTAGGCCCTAAACCCTAGATGCCAACACCCTAGACACCTTGAGCCTCTGAGCCTCTGAGCCTCTGAAGACCCTGGAGAGTGGGACCCGCTTACGTGTTCTATGCATATCAGGATTCGGGATGCTTGATCCGGGTTTAGGGTTTAGGAGAAGTAGTAATGCTTAGGGTTCCCCGGTATAATTGACGGGGTATCGGGGTCTCTGGGAAAAGCCGCGATCTGCCGCGTCTGAGGTCTTTCCCAAACAGCAGTTGAAGCACATCCAGGCTGCGCGCCATTTGAGTGCTCCTAGAAACATTCCATATCAATCAGCATAGTAAGGTTGCCAGGCTCTTCATGACTACGTGCACACATCCTTCACGTTAGGCCTGAACTGACTGCAATCAACTGAACCCCAAACCCAAAACCCTAAACCCTAAACCCTCAACGCCTAACCCGGACCAGACCCAGACACCCCCTGGCAGGCTGCCTCCGCTGTTATCTCTGCACAACAAACTGGCTTCGGTTCCGACTTTGACTGGAAAGATGCGGAACAGGCGACGACGGGTTTAAGACTTTGAGGGCCTGAGAGCAGCAGAACTAGAGGGTTTTGGGGTTGAAGGTGTTCAGATTTGAGCGGTCCTTGTTTGAAGATTGGAGGGCTGAAACGTGGGGCAATCATTGTGACACACCGCGAAGTCATGAGCACTGAAGTATTGGCGGTCAGGGTTGCCTCGGGTACCACAGCTCGTCAGGAGAGGGAGGAGGCGCTGAAAAGAATGCAGGTGGAATCCTCGGACGAGAGCCACCGGGCTGCAGACTTGCCCTCAACACGAACCGGTTTAGGGTCTAGGGGTTCAGGGTTTGTCAAGTGATTGGGGAAACAACTTTCAATCCCAAACCCTGAACCCCAAATCCGAAACCCTAAGCTCTAAACCCTAAGCCTTAAGCCGTTGAGCCCCAAGGTTCTCCCCGAGACGAAGGGGGATTTGCCGCCCCCTAAGAACCCCTAAACCCTAAACCCTAAACCGCAAACCCTAAACCAGGCGATTCGGCCGAGATGACGAAGAAGGCAAAGAAGGTGAAGAAGAAGCTCGAGAAGCAGAAGTGCCTGGGCACGGCGGCTAGGGGTTGGGGGTTGCAGGTGTGAACTTAGGGTTTTTGGGTTCAAGGTTTAGGGTCTAGGATTACCAATACGATTTTGGGGGTTCCTTTTAATAATAATATAATAATAGTATACAGTATTTTAGTTATATATTAAGGCCCCCCCATAGTAGGTTGTCAGGGTTTTGCGCTTAATAGAGGTTCAGGGTTGGAGGTTCGCGGTCTGGGAGCTTTGTGTTTCGGCAGTGTTTCGGCTGCGGGGGCGTTGCGCGTTTCAGCTCAAAACGCCACGTGCACCTTGTGGCAGCAGTACCCCGGTGTGCCGCGCCACTCATCCACCTGTTTTAGGCCTGAGCTTCGGGGAATTGGCAAGGTCTTGGCTTGAGAATTCTGCTTATGGGATGCAGGTTTCTAGTTTAGGGCTTTCGCGTTTGTCTGCTTGTGCATGGCTTTGCGGGTATTTACGCCGAAACCTCTAGACCTCAAAAGCCCTGAAGCGTAAAACCGTAAACCCGAAAGCCCCTAGAATCACCAAACCCCAAGATGGTGGAATCAGAGATTGTTGGCCCCTAAATCGTCAAAACATGTCTGGAGCTTCCCCAATACAGCCTTCTCAAACCCTGCTAGACAAACCTATAAATAAACCACTAAACGCTGTAAGGTCTAGAGCTTAGACTTTAGGGTCTAGGGATTTCAGGTTTGAGGTTACCGCAGAACACTAAAGGCCGCAAAACGAGCCCAGGAAGAAATTGGAGCAGCTAAAGCAGCTCTCCGAGCAGAAGGAGCCTCTAAATGCCGCTGATCTGGGTTCTTAAAAAGGAGCGTTAAAGGGTTTTAGGTTTAGGAGTGTTGTTATGGTGTCCAGGGGTCTTGTAGGGTTTAGGGATCATCTCGGGTTTACAGGGGTCTTGTAGCAGGGTGTGAGTTGAAGGCTTGTAGAGTTTGTGTATCCCACGGAGTCCCAAATCCCCAACCCTACTTGGAGGTTCATGGGTGGAGTTATAAGTTCCTAAATTGGGTCAGACGGTCATAACTATACTTGCCCTACTTAAAACCCCACTTATAACAAACCATGAACCTCCAAGTAGTGGGGTGCCAAACCAGCTCTTCCTTGTCCACTTTAAGAGGTGTCTGAGATTTCATGTAATATCGAAGCCGAAATAATTACCCATATGATTCTTAAGTTTCTGCATTTTAATTATGCTATAAAGGGATCCTGTTCTAATTATTAAGGCCCCTACATGACCTTAAGTAGGTAAGACCTAGTGAGGATGTCTAGGACAACATCAGGGTCAAGCAAGGGTTTAGGGTTTAGGGTTTATGGGACGACGAATGCCTGGTGCACCAGTTTTGACGTGGATCTACTTACTAAATCTTGATATATTGTGTTCTTGCTTAAACTGATCCTTGGAGTCCCCCGAAGCCTGCCACATCATGACCCTTAAACCCTAAGACCCCAACCCTAAACCCTAAAACCCTAAAGCCCTACATACTTGAACCGCAAACCCCGAAACCTCATACCCTACCCTAGAAGCCTAAACCTGAGACCCCAAGAAAACCCTAAACCCTAAACCCGAAGAAAGCCCTAAACCCCAAACCCTGCCAAAGCTTTCACCTGGGAGGAGTCGAAGGGCAAGGAGAAGAAAACGCCGCCAAGCCGGCACTCGGAAACCCATTGGGGGTTTCCTCTAGGGGCTTTAATAACTAGAATAGGGTGTCGGGGCTCCCTTTAAGGGTTCCTTAAAGGGTTCTATAAGGGCTACTGTAAGGGTTTAGGGTTTAGGGGTCTTTTTGGGGTGCAATTTGGGTTTCGGGTTTGGGGTTCAGGGTTTAGGGGTTTAGGGTTTAGGGTTTAGGGTATAGGCCCGGGTTTCGGGGCCCATCATACTGTAACTATATAATAAGGAACCCCAAAATAGTATAGGTAACTATTGATGCGCTTATATCAGGGTTGAAGGAGCCTACAGGGATGTAGGGTTTAGGGCTTTACGCCTCGGGGTTTCTGTTGAGAGAGTTTTTCGGGTTTAGGGCTTCAGAATTTAAGGCCCGTAGCTCGTGAAATAAAGCTTGCGTGCTGTGCACCTAGCCGATGACCTTGCTTGGGTGGGTGTAAACAACACTAGCAGACCTTTGTTGTGATGCGCCGGCACTGCAAGGAAAGAGAAGAAAGAGAAGAAGAAGAAGAAAAGCGCTTCCGACGACAGCTGATCCTGAATCGCTGGCGCAAAAAATTGGACGAGCATAGCTCTACACGGCACCTTCAACGAAAACGCCCAACAGCCTGAAGAGGAATTTTGCTTTGTACTGTCTATTGTTATTTCTAGTCCGATTGTACTTAATTCCCCGACTACTTCACGACGACGACTATTGCTACTGCTACGGTCACCACCGCCACCACGACGACGACCGCGACGACCACGCCGACCACAGAGACCACGAAGACCACGACGACCACGACGACCATGAATACCACGAATACCACGACGACGACTACTGCTTTCTGCTGCTCCTGCTACAAGCTGCTGCTCC